GGAGATGCATCCCCAGATACAATGACTCCAGGAGGTATTGGCCATCAAGGCTGGATCTCCCAGAGCATCTCAGGTCCCTCAGCCTCACAGGACCAAAAAGCTACAGAAAGGCGCACAGTCCCTTTCATATCACAGTACCAATGAAGGAGGGGGAACTTCTGGAGCCCCTGATCTGGCTAGCATGGATTAAGCCCTCAGCTTCTCTTGCCCCAGCTAGAACAGGGGCACCTTCCACTGTTGAAAGAGGAGCTCCGCAGCCTAGCAGTTCCCAAAGGCCACTGTCCGTGGTGCTGGCAGGTGTGGCCTTGCTGTGCTCTTGCTTACCCAGTGCAACTGCCGGCAGAATATGCCCCTTGCCTTGCCAATCACAGTGTCCATCTTCCAGCACCTGATTGACCGGCTGCTTCCCCCAGGGCCCAGCCAGAGCCTGGATGCCGCTCTCCCGGCAGCACATATTAACTGAGCTTGCTCTTTCATATATGATAGAACAAGTCAGCAAAACAGCATGCCCCTGCCTGGGAGCGCGGAGACAGATAAATGACTGAATCAGCAAAGCACAAAGGGGCACCTGGGCTTTCCGGTAAGCCCCACAAATCTTCCCTTTATCAAAATCAACCTTTACGAGAAGGTGGAGAAAGGGAGGCCATGGCAGAGCTAGAAAAGAGGAAAGAAAAGCGATTGCCCTGGAGAAGTAGGGGCAGGAAAAGAAAGGCACAGCTACGCGTCCTTCACGAAGGGTGGCTGAGAAAGAGTAAAGACCTGGGATGGGAGAACATTTTTGCTTCACTTTGGGTTCGATTCTGTGTTCCACATTCTGGAGGAAAAACAGTCGTGATATAAAAATCAAACCAAAGTAGGACATGCCAAAACTAAGCCCAGAGCCTTCAGTGTCTGGCTTTTAAAAGCCTTGGTTTGGACCCCACCTCTTCAGCCATCTTTGTGGGGCTGGACTGGGGTTGCCACCTGCTTGCCCCTCCTCACCTTACCCCGACAGGCCCCACACCTTCATAGCTCTATAGCAGGCAGGTACATTTCGGTCCTCTCCAGACCAGGAAGAGCTATGGCTGAATTCAGCTGGTGCAGATGGGTGAAAATGTTGCCCCCAGCACATTTCTTGATACAAGTTTACCCAAATTCATAAAGTTCTTCCTTGTTGGGAGAGACAAAACTTGAGGGGCTTTTTTATGAACACAGGAGAAAACAGAACTGACAGATTTGCTCATCCCAACAGACAAATCACTCAACCCATCAAGTAGAAAACTCTGTCAGGTCATAATAGCCTTCAGCTTCTCTCTCTGGTTGAGGCTGACAGAGGGAGGAAGGAACTGAAAAACCGGAATCCCAGAACTAATAGAATCAGCTTCGAACATGAAGGGTTTACATGGATGTAACTTTGGAGGGAGGGAAGAAGAAAACCGATGGCGCATGTTCACTGGCATGAGGGAAGAGAGCCCTCCTGGGGAGCCATGGGTGACCACCCATGTCCAGAGCATGGAGCTCTGTGAAGCCGCAGTGACCAACTATGCCAGTGTTCTTGGGAGCGACGTCTAAACAACTGCAGGCTGGTCGCTGCCTCAGTCCCACGAGCACCACAAAACTCCCTGAGAGGAAATGCAGAATCTCAATGCAGAAAAAGTGCCCAAAGCAGCAGACCATCCAACAAGCTCAAGGTGGGTCTCTCCTTGGTGGGAAACCAGGGGTGGGGAACCTCCAGCCCACCTCTGTTACCAACATGGCTCACCTGGGCTCTCACGAGGGACACCCACCCTTGTCCCTGGCCCAGCTCCTTTCCCCCAAATATGAAGTATCTGGTAGTTTCCAGGCTTTTGGGCCATTTCCCCCCATTCTGAAAGATTGAATTGCTTTCCTAAGCCTTGGTTACTAGCAAGAAGAGCATGTGTCCCCCATCCTGAGAGCCCCTCCAAAGCTGGATTTACCTTTGGGTTGAAAGAGGCTGGTGCAGAGAACTGTGAGGACGGGTGTCCACTAGAGGCACCACTGCCAAGGAGGATTCCTCCATCAGAAACCATTGATCCTTTACAAAATGGTGCCTCTCCAGCCAGTGCGTCAGATGCAGTGGCCAGGGCTGCCCCGTCAGCACTCAAGGAGATGGGAACCCAGAGCTGTGGGCTGAGCCAGGCGTTGGTACCCAGGACCACGTCAGAGTCTGATTCTCTCCCTGGAGGCACACGTGCCCAAGCGACAGTTCCTGGGAGAAGAAACCGGCTGGCCACTGGAGGAACACAATCCCTTGGATGCAAGCCCAAAGGGGAGCGTTCTGTTCTTAAGGCCACGGACGCTCCGAAGGTATCAGCAAACAGACACTCCATCTGCTGCTTCTTCACACAGCCGCTCACCAAGCTCATCCTCCAGCCACGAAGAAATAAGGATAAGCCTGCACTCTGACGGGGGTTCATCACTCTGGGGGGAGGGGTGGGCACAGCAACTTGAGGAAACCAGCCAAGTCCAAGGAAATGTGCTCACCCACTCTCCCCGTCCCTGGTTTGCGGACGGCTGTTGAGAGGTAGCGGGCCTCTGCCCGCGACGGAAGGCCAAGGGCTGCGGGCAAAAAGGCTTTCAACATCGCTTGTGCTCCAATGGGCCGGAAAAGAAGAGTCGAACAGATGGGGAGAGGCTGTGCAGGTCAGGAGGCGAATGGCTGCATCCAGGCAGCCAACTGTGTTTTGATGGGATGCTCACTTAGGACAGTGTGATGGGCCCACCTATTGCCGAAACGCGCAGCTGCAGTGTAGTCAGCAATCTTCTTCCGCCAGGGACTCCAATCTTCCCCCCACCATTTACTCTCTCCAGGAGAACGCCAGTGGACCCGGCATGAGCGGAGCCTGGACTAGCGCAAGAGCAATCTGGAGACCTCCTAAGTCAGGGAGAACTGGCCCACACAACCGCCAGAAGCAAAGCACAAGATGGCACACCCTGCCCTTCGGTGTGCAAAAGCAGGCTGGACTGGCAGATGGACCGTCTTCCACCCAGGTGGTGGGGCAGGTTCTCCACTGAATCTGGGAGAACTGTGGGGACACAGGGTCGGCTGCAGGGGGGAATGTCCTCTCCTGAAAATCCTTGCTGCTGCCTCCCAGCACCTGCTGCCTAAAGGTAGAGCTGGTCCTGCGGTCAGGGACTGGGAGACGTTGTCCTGTGGGCCTAATTAAGTCGAGGGAGGTTCTCCATCTTACCTGGAGGATCCCAGCTGTTGTCCAAGCCTCAAGCCCTGGCCTGGAGGCTACCAGGGCTTGGGGTGGCAAGGACAGGATCCGTGCACACATGCCCTGCATGGTCCCTTCTCCTTTGCTCTCTCAAAGCAAAGCTCCCAGCTGAGTCCAGCATTAGTTTCGTCCTCTTGTGGAATCCCCCCACCCCTATGTGAGCCAATGTTCTAGGATTCCAAAGGCTCGGGCCAGCATGAATGAAGCCCAAGAGGGATTAATTCCACCGGGCAGACAGGGATTTTTGCTAAAGGCCTTTGTGAGCAGCAGAGCCCCCCTCTTCCCCGATTGAAACCACCGGGGAGGTGGCACACACCGTGCCTTGCTTAAACATTAGATGCCAGCATGGGGAGGTGGCACACACCGTGCTTTCCTCATATGCCTCACAAAGTCCTCGCGAGCGCTGCAGCATGCCATCTGCAAATGGGCTGAGAGACTGCAGCACCTCAACCATGCCTTGGGAATGGGCAAGCTGCATAACAATGCCATTCAGACACCTGCTTTGTGGTCTCCTGGTGCAAGGAACAGATTTCAGGCGTAGGATTTCTGCATGCCAGAACAGGAGTGTCTGCAGCAGTGTGCCCAGCACTTCTGACAGCTGATAAAAATGTTTTATTTATGATCGGAAATCATTCCAGGAATTCCCTTCCAGGGGAGGTATGCTAGGGATGCAAGCCATTTCCCCGTTGTCGGCTGTTCAAACGACCAGCAAAGCTTGGTCACTTCTTTTTTCCTAGGCAGGTCTTGGGGTATAATGTAGCTATTAATTTTGCTGCTACTGGGACTTAAGGTCAGGATGCTATAGCTGTACGAGAATATGAATACAGCAGAGATGCAACATCTGCCTCGAAATGTGCTATACAATGAGGAAAACACAATCCTCTCTGTGCATCTGTACGAAGTGTCATCTGAAAGTGTGTGTGTGAGTGAGAGAGAGAGATGGAGGGAGGGAGAGAGGGAGGGAGAGCTTTTTCCCTTCCCAGTCTCCAGAAGCCTCTCCCGTCTAGCCATGTCACACTGTGAGATCCTTTACATAGAAAGCATGTGTTCTCCTCCTGCTAGGCTCTTTCCCCAAAGGCTATTACATGACCGATAACACACACTGCCTGCCATCTTATCAAACACAGTCCAAGCCTAAGTACCATTGCATGCCAGCCAGTACGGCACATGAGGTATGATATCTGATTGTTTGTCACTGTCTGAAAAACTCAGGTGTCAGCAGGTACTGTCTTGCATGAATAGGAGTGTGTGAAGAATCCAGTCTGGGGGGGGGGGGGGAGGCATCCATGAGATTTCCCCAGCTCATCTTGCCAGACTGCAGCCTCCTTTCTCTCCTCCCTGAGCCCACCTCACACCAAGCTTTTGTGTGGGCATCCGGCAGGAAGCGAGTTCAAACAGAGTTTCATTTCTGCGTCTGGGATGTCTGTGCTTTGTGCACAGGGTGCCCAGAACCACGTGCCCTGCATTTCTTGCGCAGAGAACCTGCTCACATTCCCAAGTGTTTGTGTACCACATCTCCACTTGGCTTGCTTCCTGCCCAGGTTCAAGTGCAGGAAAGAAGTCCAGCGAGTGCTAGAGACCCAGTTTCCAACCTAATCTTTGCATTCCTGGGCATGAATAACTGAAATAAAACAGAAACACTAAAACAAAGTACCCTCCATTTTCTCAAACGGTCTCCTTGAATATTCATAGGAAAGCTATGAAGCACACTAAAATTTAACTCCGAGCAGAGGAGTGGAATGTTTTTAGCTGAGCTGTGTACAGAAGGTGGGGTCTTACCTCAATGTGAACTGGTCCTCTGTTGAATTTTTAGCAATGGAAACCACAAAGGTCAAGATATCGCCTTGTTTGACAGTCTTTGGTATATATTGGATAGCAACATTATTGTCCAACCTCATTTCACTCATGGAAGGGCTGCCCCGTGTCTGGTAAAGGAAAACACTTCCAATCCTCTGCAAAGGTGGCCCCGATTCATCGATGTCATTGCGTCCGGGTCTAATCCCGTTGTTTTTCCTTGGGTCCTCTTTGGCACAATCTCCTTTCTCGTTGCCCTGCTGGATAGCGTAGTAAAGCTCCACCGGACTGCCTTCTGACTGATTCAGCAGTTTCTTACGGCCTGCGACCACTGTGGGTGGGTTGAACCAGCTGGGAAGAAGTCCCAGCTCAGCCACACACAATCCCAGATCCCCCTTCAGCCTACAACTTCCTCGGACCTCCCTTGTCTCTCGGAAAGCAAACACCCTCAAGCAAGGCAGCTGCTCCGTGACTCTGTAATCATCCCAATCTCTCCCAACGATATAGAATAGAATCTGGACTTTGGGCCGACTTGGGTAGATCTTGTTGTTCATGATGTAGGCCTTCAGTTTCCAGTTAAGAGAGAACTTGGTGGCAGCAGCTCCAAATGGATTGGAAGGAGATAACAGGTCCTGGGGAACCACTTGTTCAATGGAGAAAGGTCCATAGGTTGCATTCAGTATGGGCGGCCTCTTTGATTTGTAGACTAGGAAGGACTCCACTCGGGACTGTAGACTTGAGTTCCTCATAATGTCCTGGTTGGCTTCTTTAAGAAAGAAAGAAACATCTGCATTGTGGATCTGGTAACTCACTGGCAGGTATGTCGGCAGCAAGGAGAACTTCTGGATGCTCTCCAAGATCCCCCAGCTCTCCGATACTGAGAAAAGGAAAGGAGAGATTAACTAGTTTCTATATTTCAAGGTGACCAGAGGGTGGACCTTAAGAGCAGCCCTGGTGGTGCAGGCCAACAATGACCTCCCTGTTTCCAACACTGGCCAGCAGGGTCATTCTGGACAGCCTCACGTGAACGTGGGGGCAATAGCCCTCCCTCACTCCTTGCCCCTCTCAGGAAGTGTTCCAGGGATGCAGCAAGAGGGATGAGATGAGGGAGGTACCATTTAGCCAAGGTGGCTAATCGTGGTGGATAGGCCTCCAAACTCACAGACAACCTAAAAGATCAGGGAGAGTGCCAAAAAGAAGAGAGCAATCCATCTGATCTGCAGGCCTTTTAAAGGTCTTAATTTTAAATTTTGTGTTTTTTTCAAGAAATTAGGGGGCAGAGACAATTAGGGGGGCAACCCCAAGCCCACCAGTGGCTGCCAGCTTATCCACCTCCATGCATGTTTCCCTTTAAAGTCATCACGTACCAAAACATTTGGAGCACAAAACTTGGAAAAGGCGGCATCAAATTAGCCCCTATTCTCTGCTTCACCAAGGCAAATCTGTTCACTGAGAATCCCTGAGTGGGGAAAGACTCACACACGCAATCTTGGTGTGAGTGTACCATCAGTTAGATCAAGGTTGGTTTTATCCCGTGAGTTCCACGAACATGCAGTAATATTCCTATGGAGCAAACACTGCATAGACTGAAAAACTGGGCCAGAAATGTCTCCGTAAGACCCTGGGGAGAGGATAGCCTTTGCAAGGAATGAGCCTGGCTCATCTGACACACAGCACACTCCTCTATGACCAGAAGTCCATTCAGTGCACTTGAAATTCCAGTGGCTCCTCCAGTCTCTCTCTCATTCTGCCTGCATAACCTCCTGCTTGGATAATGGCATGGGGAATGCCCCGAATTCACTGGGCGATGGTGGGCTAGAAATTTGATAAATAAGTGAGAAGCAGAAACGAGGTCACCATCATTTTCAAACCTTCCTCGTACACATATGCGTTCTCTCTCTCTCGCATATGTGCGCACATGCACGCCACGAAACAAGGACAAGGTCACACACCATTGTCAATGGCACATTAATCAAGTGAGCTAATGAGTTAACCCTGTGCAAACTTCACACTGAGCATTTTATCGCTTGCCAAACGCTAGCAGCTTCCACAGCTTGGAGAATTCTTCATGGCCAGGCCCCAGTTGCATGCCTGGTTTTATTTCAGGCCATAAGTACAGTATGTTTCCCACTGCTTTTTTCTTAGCCCAGTTCCTCCTCCTGCCACCAACCCCCACCCTCCTTAGCACTGGGGATGGAGGTGTGCAGACATATACAAGAGAAAGCAGAGCTGGGTGTCCTCTCTCTTTTAAGGAAACCAAAGTGGTCACGGCTGGAGAAGGCAGCAAACCCACCCCATGTCCCTTCCTCCCAGCTCCCCACAGCTTAGCTCCCAGAGCCTACCAACCACTGGAATTATGCATGAAGGGAGACCTGAGCACTGGAAGTATGACCAGAGTCCCCTCCTTCCTTCACTTCCTGCCCATGAGCTTCGAAACCCCTTCCCCTCACTTCTGTCCCTCCCTCCCTCCCTTCCCTCCCGCCATTTTGGAAGCAACCCTATCCTGGGCAACCTTGGATGGACAACACCGAGCATTCTGGACATTTCTCTGAACATGTGCATGGTTGCATCCATCGTCAACTTGCTGCTCTGCTGTGGACCAACTACACCCAAAGAACGGGGATCTCACCTCCCCTCCCAAGATATGTCCAGTTACAGGGTAGCCACAAGAGGGGCTAACCTCTTTCCCATCAGCACCACTGGGACGCCAAGGAAGTTCAATGGATGAGCAGGAGGAGAGAAGGGCTTGGCTTTGGGTTAACGCGGACCTCCAAGAAGAACACAGCTTGGCCCCCACACTCACCCAGATCAGAGGGAAGCGTCCCGAGCCAATGCCATCTGGATGCCCACATCGGGAAGCATGGCCTTTGGTGGCATCGCCGGGTGTCCACCATGGTGGACAAATGTACCCTTCCCAGGGGATTAGCCTGATCCGTCCTCAGAGGCGGCAAGCCCAGAACAGTGACTCAGGCAGGGCAGAGCCTCTTCCAAGGGGGAGTAATTCCTACTCAGACTTGCATGGAAAAGCAAGCTTCTGTGTCCATGGCAGAGGAAAGTAGGGCGTGAGTTTTAATTCATAAAAAAAGTTGTGTGTTTCAGTGAACAGACATCTGGGAAACAAAGATGTGGAAGAATCTGGAGGATGGAGCAGAGGAAGTGCCATAAAGCCAGCCTTTTAAAATTAATGCCGCTTTCCCATGTTCTGAGCTGCCAAGAAGACTTTATGACATCCCTTTGTGCTCTGTTTATGTTTGTGTTTTAAAAGCGTGCATAATTAAAGCCCCCAAAAGACTGCAGTACAGCCAGCTCCCTGATACAGTCTTGGCAAGTCACACACAAAGAAACAGACAGGCACAAACCAGCAACCCAAGGAATGGCACCTGGTCATGAAATAGCAGCTCCCCAAGGCTGCTGCAAAAAAAAAAAAAAAAAAGTGGACTGGGAGTGTCCAAGAGTTGGGATGCTAACTATCTTATGAACGCCCAAGGAGATTTCTTGTCTTCCCCCAATCTTGAGCCCCAAGGAATGGCCAGATCCAGATTGGCACGGCTGTTTGCATAGCCCAGTCTTTTAAGTACAGCACAGCAATGACCACCTGCAATGACCACCTTCAGATGCTTTAGCCTGCAACTTGCCCAGCCTAGTGAGCATATCCAGGGGTGAGGAAGTGGCCACACCTGGCAAGTCGCCAGGCCGGACTTGGTGAGGGCTACGGGCTCCAACATCAGGACTGCTGCATTTCCACCCTGGCTTTACAACATTTGTGGAGCTACCCCCAGTGCTAAGCCCTATCTCCAAAACAGGCTTGGCACTGGAAGAAGCTCCTAAATTCAGGCTAAAATCTGGAGTGGGTAAGCCACCCCACTCCGCCAGCCTCCAATGGTTGGGCTATGAGAGCTTTTATCCCTTTTGCAAAGTTGGTCTGCTAGGCCATGGCAGAAGGGTATTTCCTACAGCGGCTTAAGTGGGGTGGCTTGCTGACCTTCCAACAGCCCACCCCCTCAATCTGGAGCATGCTGGAGTCCATAATGCAATCAGCTGGGGGGAAAGGGCTAAAGAGTCTAGGGCAGAAAGCAAGTGAACAAGATTTCCAAGACAGCATGCAAAAAAAAAATCGGATGGTTGTGAAGGGCGGAGGGAAGGCGAGAACATGATTTCCATGTATGAATTACGTGGAAGCGAGTGACTTAATTAGCAGTGATAATCTCTTCCTTGATTTGTGGCACAATTTTCTACACTTTTTGAGATATTTACAGTATAATTATCCCTTTTCTTCCTCATCCTTTTCATTTTTTAATATATAGTGTTACACATTACTGCTTCTGCATCATAGATTCTAAGAAGCTATTTTCTGGCTTTCCTGAAACACCCACAAATCAGAACTAGCCATTCTGTGCTCCTAGTCTGGGGTAGGGGGCCCTAAACGCAACAGGAGGGGATGCTTTTCCATGAAGTTCAGCTTACGTGTCGCCTCTTTGTCTACTTCGGAGTGCCTGCCGTTGAAATGTGAATGCAGCTGGGTTGAACAGACTCACAAGTATGTGAACCTCATGCCATAATGCAGCTTCCCACCAGCTGGTGCCATCTGAGGAATGCCAGGGGGCTGGACAGGGACTCTGCAATCCCATACGTGGCCCACACACCTCCAGTTTCCCACCTTCCAGACACTAGATCTGTAACTATTCCAAAACATTTCAATCCACCTTCCTGAACCTGATGCCCTCTAGATAATTTTGACAACGTCAGTGACCATTCTGGCCAGGGACAACTGATGTTGAGGTCCAAAATACCTGAAGGTACTAAGATGGGGAAATTTGACCAAGGCATGTGAGTTTGGCAATGGAGTCAGAACAAGTCCCCATGAGTTACAAGAATACACCTGCTTCTCTCTCCTTTGCTTTCAACGCGGCCCTGCCTGATGAAGACTAGAGAGGCCAGCTATGACCTTGAGCTCAAGACCCAATTGCCAGCTCTGCTGTAGAAAACAAGAGGAGATTCCGTCGAGTCCCTTTGTCAATTCCCTGTGCTACGTAAGGCTAGAGTCGTTCTTAATGAGCAACCCACCACCCCCTGTTATTCCTCAACAGGGAACTGAAGGCTGCTGACACGGTTCGCTATGGTGGGAAGCGCTAATCAGCAATGCAACAGAAAGGAAAGAAATGGAAAGAGAGAGAGAAAACAGCATAGGCAGAAACTGAGGACCATCTACCGGAATTCTAAAAAGCAAATTCTGCTGTTTTCTGGAGGGATGTGTAGATACCAAAGAGACCCTGATTGTCAAGGTATATATATTAAAAAAAACCAGACAACAACAGTCCTACGCAGTAATTAGAATGGTCTGTTTGCGGGATGAGAACAATCCTCCTGCAAAGAGCAAAGCCTGAACGTTCAGGGCAGACCTTTCTCTTTCTGGGCTAATTACATTTTCCTACGGAGCGTCAGAGGCAGGAAAGGAATTCATGGGGAGAGGTAATCCAAGTCATGATGGGCATAAGAAATCAGCCTTAGCACCTGATTGGGCCAAGAAGTTAATGAACAACAACATCATCCATCCATCTATCCCCTATATCAGGGATGTGGAACCAACAGCCCAGGGGCATAACCAGGGCTTTAATATACAGAAGGGTGGTGTCAAAATTTGATCCCAGTCCAGAATTGAAAATCTGAATTAATGTTCTGCTTTGATGGACTAAATGAACAGCATTTCTGTAAAGTTCACTGCACGCCATGACTGAGCTGTCAGCTACGAATACCTGTGAACAGGCAGGGTCAAAACCTGATGAAGGCTGCAGTAGGGATCCTTTCTAATCCCAATCGTGACTGCATGGCCAGGACCAAAGGCCAACTGCCTTTGCATAACTTCTCCCAGATCCTATCAGCAACTGAATGCCATATCTTTGGAAGTCAGAGCTGAAGGTGAGTGAAACTTTTTTCCAAATATCATCCACAATCACTACTGGGGAAAAATTGTCATCAAAGACTACAGAGGAGAGCAGATGAGAATTTGGGAAGGGAGCAGTTTTACTTTGGCTTCATGGAGTCTCAGTGGTTCACCTTGTTCAGGGCTTATGGATTCTAGTGTCTTTTTCTGTTTTCTGACAGCCTGATGAAACTCTGAAAAATACAAACAGACTTCAAGAAGACACCTTCCCAATGGCAGCAACAACAGACAGCGGGATTCCTGAATGTTTCCTCTTTGAATTCATCTTGTCTACAGATCACAAATCCATTCCTCCCGCCTCCACATTGAAGCTGGCATTATAGCACATTGTTTCAGATTTCTGAGGAGTGGGATGCAAAAAAAAGCAAAAACTTTAATCCCACCCACAGATTGTTTGAGTTTAATTAGATGAGGGCTGTATATGTACTGGGAGGTCGGAGTGGCGCGGGGGAAGGTCTCATTCTTCCCCTTAGGGCATTGCTTTTTCCCTTATTTAAAAAAAGATGTTCCTCTCCCAACAACTCAGAAGTTGTTTTGAAAAAGAGGCGCATGGGAGGAAGGCGTATAGACACACAACACACACACACGTGCTGCAAAAGCAGCTGGGCAAAACAGGCCGGCTCTTTTGCTGCGACGTTTCTAGCTGAACTGAAGGGAAAAGGCCGTGCACTGAATTTCAATCGAATCCTTCTGGAAGCTGACAGCAGTTTTCCAAAATGGCCCCAAAGGCCAGAAATTTCAAACTGTTCTCACACTTCATCCAGGCTAGAGGCGTGAGCAGTTAATGAGTGGACAAAGTGGCCCACGAAGCAACTGTCTCCGGCCAGCATAAGAGCAGTATCTGGATCCTGGCTGAGGGGAGTTATTACTGGGCTCCAGAGGATCACAGAGCAGGGGGAGAACAGCAGCCCACAAGTAATGCTCTAAATCTTGCTTGGGCCTTTCCAGAGCCCATTCTTCTTTCCCA